GGGATATAACATTACCCATATATATACATACACATATATATGGGACTTTCCGAAAATACGGGGCCCTAATATAGTACCCTAGTTAGTGGTATCTTTTTCTGAGGACACAAAATAAGGTATTCCTTGTTTTGGGAAACTCCCATATAGAAAAAAATATTAGGTATCATATACGTATTCTGCTAGGTACTCTATAAAGTGTTCCATGTGGAATTCTATACAACATATATAGGAGATATAGGGTCATTTTTGCAAAGTATTTTATCGCGCATTCTATCGCGCATTCTACAAGGCATTGCAGAAGGTATTGTGTAAGGTATCCTATAGGGTGTTTATATAGGAAGGTATTCTATAAGGTAATAAAAAAGTCCCATATGTGCTACAGGGTATCCAATAAGGAAAAGTATACAAGGCATGCCGGGGTATTCCATAAGGTAGTACCACATGTTTTGTTGCATTTCTTTAAGGCTTGTAGAAAGGGTATTCCGTAAGGTAATCTATAGGCAATGCTCCTAGCTTCCCGGTTCCCTTCTTAGACATCCCTTATTCCATAAGCTACACTTTAAATGGTCAGGTCCTGGGTTCCTCCTGCTTTTTCCTCGTTGAAATCGTTCTATAGGGTTTTCTAGTAGGTACTCTACAGGGTATCCTAAATAGCATTCTGGAGGATATTGTATAAGGTATATTTAAGGTATGCAGAGGGTATATTACATAGGCAGTCTGCTGTAAGGCATTACTACGGTGTATGCCAGATGGTTTTCTTTAGGGAATTCTATAAAGTATTCTATAGGGTACTCCATAAGGTACTGTGCAAAAAGCTATTCTGTAGCCTATATTTAGGAAGGTATTCTATCGGGTAGTCTATATGAAACTCCGCAAGCCACAAGTTTTTAGAGGGGTATTCTATAAAGAAGTTCTAAGGCTATCCTTCTTGGTTCCTGATTCCCTTCATAGGAAACCCTTACCCAATAAGCTACGATTCAACTGGGGACTGTGTTTCGGGTTATATTTGGTAGACTGTCTAAGCCGTAGATGCACAGCAAAGAGTAAAAAAGCATAGGTCTTTGAGGGGAGCAGCATGCATATATATATATAATTATATATATATATATGTATATATACATATGCTCTATGTATACATGTCTGCGCGTATTCACACACACACACACACAATGCTCAGATTCTGGCTCTTCACCGACGTCGCTCAGCAATGCCTCCAGCCCATGGTCTATAAGTTTTTGCGAAAAAATCAAGAATCTCTAATCACAAAAGGTCCACGAGTCGTCCAGGCCTGTCTTTCCGGATTGCGGGGAACACGAGCAGATCGTCGGAGCAAGACCTGTCAACAAGTTCAATCCTGAAGATCAAATACGCACGGCGAACCGCCGTCAGTTATCACAACGACGATAACCGAACAACAACCGCCATGCCGAGACTGTCCCCTGTGCGGCCGCCGATCGATGTCACCAAACCCAACTCCGCTACAACATCAGATGTGCGCTGAGCTGCATTCCCCCGCTCGATGAGTAAAAAAGGAGAAATGCGGGGCTTTGTAACACAATATGAGGGATGTGCTGCGATTCGGCAAAACATAACTTGATATGATAATATGAAACAGATCACACCCTAGCAATATATTGTCGAATATGATGTAACATAACATAATGCGGAATGATTTTTCGACAGCATCATGTCTTAAGATATGGTCAGATACGACACAGACAATGCGGCACGACATGACATTGCATTACATATCTTGATGTTTACTGCAGTTCGAACAGGCTAGACGAGAATATAGTCGAGGAGGGTAATGTTACCCGGCGTGAAATGATGTATAACATGGTGTGACATATGATGTACAGCTTACGAAACACTGTAACTACAACGTGGATTATATGCGAAACATGTGCCATACTCTTGCTTTCAGGCCCTGGCAGGAGGTGCAGAACGAGGCTCTCCTCGCGTATCCGGCCTTGTGTCTCAGAGTACGGCAGTCAGTCGCAAGGGACTCAGTCCTTTGGAAGGAAACTCGGCGCACCCACACAACCCACCAATGTTTGCAGAATCGGCACTCTTGCGCCCGCCAGACAGAGCGGACCCGCCGAAACAAGAGAGCGGCTGCCACCAAACCTTCCGCATGCTCGCTACTTCGAGGCAAGTCACTCTGAAGCCATTGGCGTCATCGGCGGCACCGGCAGGGTTGGCGGTGGGGCCTGACCCGCCGCAGCACCATCCCCGACTTCAACCCTCCAAGGTTTGCCAAGCCTTTTACGGTGCAATCACCTTGATGGTCTACCCATCCCCATCCCCCGGTTGCCCATTCAAGAAACCCCCTAGCAACCTCTGGCCTGTGGTCTTGCTGGCGGCGCTTCGCAGAGGTGGAGAATCTGCAGTCAAGAGTAGATCCAAGAGGCCCTATCTTCGACGTGGCGCTTCAGAAAAGAGTCTCGTAGGTGTGTGTCCCAGAAACAAGCAGCTACAAGTAGTCCAAGCTCTGAACACAGACTTCAGGCGAAGGCAGCTCAGACTGACACCTTCTTGGCCTTTTCTGCACACGGCTGAACATTCGAGGCCTCAGTCCCAAGCCCAGGTGACGCACTGTGTGATGCTAGTCACGGGATTGCTCAAGTCAGGAGCTTCCGAGGCAGGATTGAAGATCTGCAAAACACCGGGCGCGCCGGCCAAGTACTTCAAGATCTCCTCGTGATCTTCGTAGACTTTCGTGGCCACTAGCTGAGATGCCCCACCTGCCACTTGCTGGATGAGATCGCGAAAAGCGCCATGCAATCTATTCGGCTGACTACTTCGAGCTGGACAACGAAAGGAAGACTTCTTTCTTGCCCCTTACTAACCTTATGCGGGTTGATTTGCACATCGATGCCAGATCATGTCTGCCAGTACCACGGGCGGTACCGTTGCGCTAAGACATCTGAGCTTCCAGCTGTCCTCCTCGAAGCACTGCTCCAGAAGACACAGGGCGCGAAATCGCGGCTGCCAACTGCGAGCTTAAAGATGCGATTCTATGCACTGTCCCGACCACACTGTGGCAGTCCCAGATTTGAGTCGCAGTGCCCCCGGGACTGCCCGAAGCCACCGAAGCTTTGTGGCTAGAGTTATCAAGTCCTCCTCCTGCAAAGTCCGTCTGACTCCCGGCTAAGCGACTGCTAAGCTCATGGCTCTGTTCCACTTTGGAGGCTGAGCTGATCACCGATGGCTGCCTCAGTGATATAGCATCCCCAAGGCTCTAAAGAGCGGTGTCGCATGACACAAGCTGATGCGTACGAAGTCTAGATTCCAGACTTCAGGCTGCAGCAATCAAACCAGCCATTCATTTCGTTCAAACTTTCAGGATGACAAAGACATCATAGAGCACGTCTTGGACGCCATGAGTTTTAGAATTTTTCTATTCGAGATCTTGCTGCATGCCTCATCCATTGCAAAGTGGTGGGCTAGGAAAGCAACAGTGAGCATTCAGAAAGGAATATGGTCAGGAGCATTTTTTGAAAGAGCACTATAAACCAGAATGAGTACCCCCACCAGATTCTGGAACAGCTTCGGACTAACTTTTAGACTGAGGCCGTGGTGTGTCGAATCTACATCTCCGCATGGGGTGCAAGTATTCAGCCCGCCTCCCCCCGTGTGTCTAGTCCGCATTCCAGGTATGCAAATTGCCAGGATGTTCGGAGCAGAATTCGGACCGTCCACTGAACCCGTTCCCACTCGGCTAGCTCAAGCAAGAGGTTCTAAATGGAAAATGGCAAACTATTCTATAAATACCAATAAACGAGTCCGAGGGAAAAACAAGAGTCTACATGAACTGAACCTCTGCCGCTTCGTTCTGGCAGCAAGCTAAACATCGTGATCAGACTTTTCTTCGGTGCAGAACGTGTTGTTGAAGGTGAACTGTGGATCAGTTGGCAGGACTTCCATATTCTCGCCCAGGCTGTTCATGCTGATGATACCTAAAACGCAAAAGAGCAGCTGTAACACTGCATCTAAAGCAAGGAGTGACCTCCAGAAGACAAGACAGCATCACAGATTCCAAGCACCTATGATACTAGTGAACGACTCTGGTGATCCGCTTGTGCTAGGACAACGACAACAACGTCTCGCACAGGATATTCACGAACCGAAGAGGAGATGAAGAATGTCGCCTGTGCTTCGCCGACTCAAACGTCCAGTGCGTGGCAGTGGCAGTCAGGCTACGCTCTGCCACCGAACGGGCTGTCTGCGGACAACTGCAGGAATCGTGCTTCCACGGCATGCACCAAAAAGGCTCACATCTGAACTGAACACATCGCAGGAACGAATCAGGTTTGCACAAAAGTCCTCCACCAACACCCTGCAGGCAATGTCCATCACTCACGACAAAACAGCAAAACAGGCCGTCTGGAAAGTGGGAAGCGCTGCTTACAACCAATATCAATGAAAGAATGACTACTTCATCCGTTGGAAGGAAGGAGTAAGGAAACCTCCTGTACACGTGATGCTCAGGCAGGAGGCGGCAAGAGGCACGAAGGATATGTTTCGAGCAAAATCACCGAAACGAGCAAACGAGGCCCGGAGAATCCTTCGGCAACAGTTGGCATTTTCGCGAGTCGGAAAGGACTATCCTGTCACGCAAGTCAACTTTACAAGTTTCATCTTCGCTGCACTCCACCCAAATTCGCAAGAGGCCGAGCACCGAGCTGCAACATGCCTGGACTTGAAAGAACTGCACCTGCAAAGGAAAGCGAGCGAGATCCAGAACCGTGGAATTCCAAAGCTTGAAGTATCAGTGGCCGCAGCCTTTCCCAAAGTGCGACCAGCTCAGACGGAGTGGGCTCGACACGAGCGGCATGACAGTCCTGTTCTTGCGCCAGACATGAGGTCCATCAAGGTCAATCACCAAACGTACAGACTGCCGCGTCGTCCCCTCGATAAGCCAATGCTGTACCCTCCGAAGCCTGACTTGGACGAAGCGTTTTCGCCTCGAGTAGCTGGGACTAAGACAACTGCATCGGGTCCTGGCAAAAGTCTTCAATGACGACCTTCGGCCAAACTGCTCAGTTCTGAGGGTGTAGCGTGTCTGTTCCTGACTGTAGGCCCCAGCCCCAGGGTCTTTACGAGCGGCTCGTCTCAGGGATCCACTAAGTTGGAGAAAGGACAGGAATGGATCCCTTCCTCCCGGTTGCTGGCTGCCACATCCATGCACTATGTCTTGAAGTGAAGGTGAGGTGGCGAAGCGTAAAGCAGAACCGCGGTCCATGGACGCAGCTCTCCTGCGAAACCATGGCGCTCAACACACGAGATGTGGCGAAAGCTTGTCGCTGTGCACCGACCAGCAGTGACCAATACTGCCAGCTTGCAGGTCTGAGAAGTGACGGTCAGCATGATTAGTTTTGGGGGGCAGAATGTCTGCTGCACCGGGGCTCAAGCCCGGGTTTCTTCCACGTTCTTCCTGGTGCGCCTGGACGGCTTTTTCGGCACCTGGCCGACGCTTCACAGCACTGACTTTCTTAAATCTCGGGCAACTGTCGGAGTGAAGGGAGTGCAGTGCCTGGTCTCTTATTTGGTCAGCCATTGCAGGTCGCGACATATTTTGAGGTAGGAGCCCCTCTCTCCCTTTGCTGGTGGAGGGCCTCTGAGCTCTTTCCATACACGACCGCACTCAGCCTGAGCAAACGTGTCATGAGCTGACCTAATCGCAAGGAATCACGCCATGCAGCACTTATATCGATTCTCAAAAGCGGCAGCTCTAAACATGGCTCCGAAGCCCTGCGCAGCCATGGACTGAGGCCCCAACTCCTCCATCCAAGAGGTGAAGAGGCCATTGGACAGGTACCCTTGCCTCCCCAAAAGACTTGGGGAAATGAATGGCGGGGCCTGGGGACGAAAGTTTCACCATGTTTCACAAGGGAAAACGTTCTGGGATGCAGTGGGAGCTAGTCTTGGAGGTCGAATAGACCGGTCCGGACCAACTAGGGTGGACTCAGACATGACCGCCTAAGACCCGTGCTTTCTGTGTGCCGAAACTGACTCTGGTCCATCGGTGCCAGCGGGAGCAAGCAGCCCTTCAGAAAGTCGACTGATTGTCCAATGCCTTTCAATTGTTGTAATATATATATATGTATATATATATACATATATCGCTGTAACACAGCCGGAAGACCTCGTCTGCAAAAATGCCACAGAATTTGATCAGTGCTTGTGAAGACTCGGAGGGGGGGAAAGGAGCATGTGCTTCAAGCTCGCTGCATGCTCTCGCTAGGTCCGAAACCCATCTGCCAGAACGACTTGCGCGGACCGCGATGGCTGGGCGACCGTCGGGGTCCCCGAACTTCCTTTAAAGATCCTTCCGCACGACTTCTGTATGACCCTACGTCCTCAAGCACGGGAAAGCTCTCTTCCATGACACGGCCTCACGGCACGACCCGCCATGAGGCGAGGCACAGAAAGCTGTTTTTTTCTGCACCTTGGCCGCTTCTCGGTGAGCTTCACTTGTGAAGGCATGCGTAGAGTATTAGTCAGCGGCGTGGCATGCATCAAAGGCACCTGCTGCACTCCGACTTTTGCGGAGCAAGTCGGACTCTGCCCCACCCCACAGGAAAAGCCTACTTACAAGTGCAGTTTTTCGGAAGCTTCGGTGCTGAAGAATTTCAACCCAACCCCACGGTGCGAGATTGTAGCTTATGGAATCCTTCGGGAGTTGGTGTTTGAACACCGTGCCTGCAAAACGCAACTTGCATTGCGAAATTTCTACCAGCAACTGACAGTGTATTGCACGTGTTCTTCTTCATGACCTCATCCCTTTCCCTTTGCACCTCAGACCTTGATGGCTCCGCGGTTAGTCGCCACCAAGATCTGTTGAGCCGGCAAGGCACAGTAGTACCACATGTCGAGAGCGCGCGCACGAGCGTGCACAGGTGCATGTGCAGGCGCCTGTTTCTCAAGACAAGGGTGTGTTCAACTGTTCCGGCAGGTGTGCATCCTGCAAGCACAAGCCACCTTCTGATAATCGCTGTGACTCCTTATGCACAGGATCCCCATGGCACGTTTTTCCATCTGTGTACATCGCAACAAATCCCCTTCTTTGCGCTGCAGTCACCAGCGATGCAGTCTGAAAGCGTCTTGATTGCCTGCGGGCAGAGTCTGACAGTAGGGATGACATCACGACACCAGCCTTCTGATTGCTTGGACCCCAACTGAGCTTCCACTGCAGTGTTGTCGTTGCGTCTCAAGCACACCCAAGCTGAGATATGACATGGGACTAGACAACACTGGAACCGAAGGGTCTCGACATGTCTCAACCACTGGTCCTCAATACGGCTGGAATCGGTTCTCACCGCCGCCATCTTTTACCGGACCACTTCCGCCTTTCAGTCGCTCCAGCAACATGTGTCCGAGAGTGATGTACAGCTAAGCAAACATGTTACATGAGAGGGAGCAGGCGCAATTTCACGAAAAGGCTCGCAAACAGCATCTGTCACTGTGAGGCCTGAGCATGAACCATTCAAGAATCACCACGCCTGCGGCCTCCGGCTCAGGAGCTCCTGCTGCACCTGCATGTTTCGAAAGTCGCGCCCCTCTTTGTCGAAGCATTAGATTCTCGTTTCCACATACAACAGCAGACTTTTTCAAACCTTACCACCTGCAGATCCTCTCAGGATTTGGTGTCAACCTTGACACGACCGCATCACGTTCACGAACGAAATTCAGAGAATTAGCGCAGCATCGAACGCTGGCAGGGCGATGTCGGGAGCCTAGTGGCACAACCCCCTGTGAAATGCGCCAAATGCAAGAAACAAGCTTTGCTGCACATCCTGCGTACATGTTGTAGTATGTTGTAGTGTTCAATATTGCTCATCACTCTCTTGCATTTCCGACCACGGCCTCCGCCGTCGGCAGCAGAAGTCATGGGCGCGGGGGCGCCTGGCGTGAGACAGTTCAAGCGATATCAAAGCGCTTGGTGCGGCCGTCTTGCATTCAGCTTCCAACAATAACTTGTTCCCGTGCATGCCCTTATCAAAAACTATCTTTGCTGGGTGGGTATGCCGGGTATTCCATGCCGCGGTCTTCCAGTTGCCTTTATCCTTGAAACTACCGGGTCGGCCTGCCATGTTCGGCATGGTAGGCATGCAGCCGGGCATGCAGCCGGGCATGCAGCCAGGCATGCAGCCACCGCAGGGACAGCAACCGCCACAACCTCAACATGCGTGATTGAACGGAATTTGCGCAGGACTGCACACGGGCACACAGGTGAGACGTCAGCGTTGCAAAGGTCTTGACGTAATTTCGTGGCTCTTCGCCCCCCCCCCCCTCCTTCCTGTAGAATTATGATGCAACATGATGCAACCTAGCCTGGCATGCAGCCCCCACAGCAGGCCGGCATGCATCCCGGCATGCAGCCACAGCCACCTGAAGCAGTCTCATATGCGCTTCTGCCAATGCGGAAGATGGAAGAAGCCAGCCCTGCCTGGTGGAGTTGCTCCCGGTGGGGCCCCTGTGCTGGGTGCTCCGGCAGACGGAGCTGCGTCAGGCCCGCTAGCGGCGCTAGCGCCCGCATCCTCCGAGGGCTGGGCTCCTCCTGGAGCCCCGTTGGCTCCCGGGGGCATACCGGGGGCACAGCCCGGACAGCCACAGCCGCCACACCCGGGCATCATCATCGGTCTTGCACCCATCATCATAGGATTCATCTGCATCATCGGATTCATCATCATCGCCATCATGGGGTTCATCATCATGGCCATCATGGGGTTCATCTGGCCAGAATCTTTGTCCTTGCCGTCTTCACCATCCTCGTCTGCCCCTCGGAGTGAAGCTGCCTGCAGCAGATACTTCTCGGACCACTTTTCCTCGTAATCGTCCTTGGGGGATTTGTGCAGGCAGATGCAGGAGCGATCAGGATGGGCAAACCATGATCCCTTCACGATCATCAATTGGCCTCCTGACCTCAACCCGCTGAAAGCAGCTTGGGCTACTGTAACAGGTGTCTGACCCCGTTGCTGTGAAGAGCCGTCGGATTAACAGCAAGCTCATGTTCAATCCTGCATCAACGGTGCTTCAGCCTCCTTCTTCTCCTGATCGGCTGCAGCTTCCAATGATTGAGAGCTTGACTGAGGTTTCTGCACAAAGTGTCATGCATCCTCATAACACGTTGCCACATATGCAGCATTATGCAGCTTGAGGCAGCTTGAGGCATTCAAAACAGAGGTGGCCGACGACAGTCATCCGTGAAAAGTCAGCTTGCTGTTGTCTAGATGGGTCTCGTCACAGTCTGCATCAATGAACGGAGATACTTGGGAGAACGCTACAAGGCAGCAGTGCGTTTGCTGACCGACTACAAGGACCACAGGGGCCATGTCTGCATGCGGAGTGCGGGCCTTCTCTCTCACAACTTGCATCTTTTCTCTTTCGGCATGCTGCGCCGCTTGAAAAGCAGAACCTCCGTGAGGGCGAACTGCGACCCACCTCAGCTCGGACAGCACTGCTACTCTAGTAGTGGCGAAAGTCCTACTGATCCCAACTGCGTCATCAGCATCAGATCGATCTTCCGTCACCATCACCATGGGGAACACTGTTAGTAAATCGGCCTCTAGGTTGGCATCTACGAACTGCCGCAAGTCGACTCGAGTATCCACCTGAAAGATGTCTGCTTACGCTACAATGCATGTCGCTGCATATCAGTGATAGCCAAGGCTGCTAGCCAGGGCACTTGTTGTCAATCATATGGTTGGCTTTCGCTTCCACGGCTTTGTCAACTGACTCCTCGCAAGGGATGCTGCACCAGTAAGACATCAGACTTTGCATCACGTCAAGCCCAAAGCCCGACCCCAGCATTTCTCTTTCTCCGGCACATGTGTCTCCTTGTCTGTGAACTTGACAAACGCGAACCCACGCGACGTGCCATCTGGCAGGCGCTTTATGTCAACGCTGTCCACCTGCCAGAGCCGAAGAAGGGACGTTCCTAGAGACCCAAACACGAGTTTGCAGCTCTGCGTTTGCACAATGCCACGAGGTTCAGAATCAGCGGAGCATTTGTCCCAATAAACAGATGCTACGTGCCACAGCGTGCCTGGCCGTACTTCGCGAAATGGGCAGCTACCTGCCGAGATGTTTTAACTGGGTCGCAGGAGATCTTTGGAGCACCTGCCAAGCCCAGGCTCCCTGCCCAGGAGCAGTGGGCCTTGTCTTCACTAGTGCTTTTCCGCAAACCGCCGACGAAGACCGTGGTTACCTCCAGTCAAAGGAGACATCCCCTTGCGCATGCGAAGTTCTACAAGCAAGGTACAGCTGACATCTCTTCTCGGCCAGGCAGCTTTGTCTTCACTAACGCCCTTGGGTCTCAGACCTCCAGCCTGCACGGGTAAGCTTCAGGATTTTCAGTTGGAAGAACGAGAAAAAGAAGAACAGCTCAGCAGATCTGAGCAGGATGGTCGGGGGTCCAGACTACGATCATTGAGGCTTGATGGGTTCTTCCCACTCGCCTCTCTGACAGAGTCGCACCTCCTAGTTGATAGAGAGGGCTTTACGCTCTCACAACTCGGACAAGCCAGGCGATAGAGAGGGCTTTAGGGCTTAGCCTGCCGAACCTGGCCCAGCCGGTCTGGAAACTAGGAGTAGTGCATCGGGCCTTTCGCAACTCGAAAAGCCCAGGCGAGACTTATGCAGGGAAGGTTCCGCTACAGACGGGATGCTCCCAAGCTACCGTAGCTGGAAACCAGCAGATCACACAATTCCATTCGGCTTCCGGTGCAGCAGCCTGTGCCCGAGTACTGTCAAGAGTTGAGGATTCGGGACGGATTCTTCGATTTGATCGGGTGTCATGCAGACAGATGTGCGCCCTGCATCACCGTTACAGGACCCAGGTCTGAATAAGTAATCAGTACACACATGTACAACAATGTATACACATTGTCTGCTTGTTTTGGTGGATATTGTCCTTCTTGTCAGCAACAGTAATTCCGCACTTCTGCTATTCATTTCCAGTCTGTGTGCATTGCATGTTTTTTTCAGTGGCGGCTTGCAGTTCAACTCATGCGCGGACCAGACGTCCAAATGTGAGCCGTGCCCTACTGACTTCGCGATCGAACTTGCGACTCCGGCAGGCATTTGCGTTTGTCCTGACCCTTCACAAGCCCCAACAGCGAACCAGGACTTAAACATCTCAACTCGAACAGCAAAGATCCAATCCACTCTCTCATACTAAACAAAGCTACCTGACCACCCTGCGCATGACGACGGAAGAAGTCGCAACTCACAAACGCAGCAATCTGGACATCATGCCCGATTGACCAAGTCCGAACGCCTGCCTGTTTCATCCGATCTGCCTCTCCTCCAGACACTGTGTCTGTGGCTTGCGAAGCAGAATGCTGGGGCAAGGTTGGAGCAAGGCGTGAAAACAGCGAAGGACACCGGCGTGGCCTTGAGGGAATGGCGTGCCGTATCCAGGCACCGGTTGCATGGCCTCGGCTCAGACTTTCAGCAGCAACAACGCTTAGTTGAGGGATCCCGAGAAGCTTTTGGGAAACGGTAGAACCCAAACTTTATTACGTCGGCCCTGGGTTCCACCGGAACTGCAACCGCCAGATGATAAATGCAGATTATCTCCCTGAGCGGCTACAGCGTGGCCTCGGCTTTCTGTCGGCATTCCGGAAAGATTATGAGCAAGAGACGACCGAAACTTCTCCAGCTAGGTGTTCCCGAGCTCAAGGGCTTCGACTCTGAAGAACTATCTAATCTTTCCATTAGCTATGGGGTTTGTGAAGTTTGAGGTCGGAGACCAAATGGGGCCTGCGCGTGGCTTCTGCGCCACTGCTTTCACACCTCCCGAGCCCCTCACAGGTACTCACCGACCCGAGATGTCCTGCCATTCGTCTGCAAGCTTCCGACTCATGTGCTTGAAAACCCTAGACTTTGCATGCGCCAAGTGGCCCCAGGCACCATCGGCATGCCCATGCCCGGGTTCATTGCTGGCAAAATATCTCGCTGTGCCAGCTTGGATTGGCTCAGACGAAATGCATGGGTGAAGAGCTTTTGCCAGACCTTGAAGATTAAGCTTTGAAGTGTGAGCAGGAGTTGTGGAGCATGGGTGGCCTGCAACGAGGCACCGCGACTTGGCGGCAGGTGTCAAAACTATGATGGTGTATGCATGCTTGTGCCCACGTCATCTTGCACCGGCGTTGGCAGCCTTGCCCACAGAAGCCAAAAGCCATCACGTCAAATGAAAGCAGGAAGACCAGGCAAAATGAGGTCTGAATCCCAACATAGGACATGCACACGTCTACACGACCTAGTGCAAGCCCTGGCCCTGTGCCTCCCCCAGCCACGACACCAAGTTTTGTATAACACTCCACATCACTCCACTTTCCAGAGTCTGACCTCATCCATGGGCTTATAGGCATGCAAGACGACGAATGAAGGCCGCAGGTATCCCGGTCGAGAGGCTAAGTGGTAACCCTCTGAGCGACAGGGCACTGTTTTCGAATCGCCAAGATGGGCCTCCATAAGTTGTGCCGCTGGAGATCGCTGCACCATTTCGGCACTTCGGTGCGAGCATTCTGCGCACCCCTACTAAGTCCTACCGTGCATTGCCAGTGTTACTGTGACATCAACGACCTACAAGTACCACTCTTTCTAAAGATCCTGGAATCCCTAAGGGCCCTAAAGTTAAAGCTCGCAGAGCCCGAGCACGACTCTGAAACTAACTACGACTCTACGAGCGCTTGGTCGGCTCTCGAGTCGATTCGTGATCGCAGCGGCTCTGAGGTGGGCCCAGGATGCAACAAAAGATGGGAGTTCTTCTTTTGCGACTGTGACTGCTCCTCTACTGTAGTTTTTCTGGTGTGCCAATGCAACGGTGGCCCCTGCGAACACAGCCACATGTACAACGAACCAAGGTCCACTTCCTCTTTCAGCAGATTCTGCTAAAGTTCTACCATTTCAAAACTGCTTCCTTCAGCATCCTTCAGCCCATGACATCGCGTGAAGTCTGTGGGGAGTGTCCCCCGGAAAGCACGCTCTCTGCCGGTCCGCCACGTGCCCGTGGATAACGCTCATGGAACATCATTGAGCCTGGTCGTCATGGCTGAGGAGTTGCCAATGCTTTCCATGCTTGTGCCCTGCTGATCTAATTCGCCAGTATCTGCTGGAGAACTTATGAGCGCAACCGCATGCTTCGGAAGAGACCAGCTCTTGAGAGCAACACTCACACCCAGCAGTCCTAACATCCCAGTGTAAGCAGAAGACTACCAGTAGGTGCTCAACGGCCTGACTTGTACTCTCTCTCTCTGGCAGAAGGCAGCAAAGATCTCGCATCGCAGCCTCAAGAAGCTTCCGCGTTGTCTGGAGCGACTTGGTACTGAGAAGGTTGGTTCAATCTGCATGTCTGGGCACGAAACACAAGCAGGACATTCATTTTGCCGGCCAACATGTGTACACGAACAACTGCCATTCCGTTGACCGACATGTTTCACACACGACGACTTATACATATACACACAACACGGAGCACAACGCAACCAATGGCAGGAAGCTGCTTTTCTGCGACGGGCGCCTGTACACTGCAAGTCCCAAAGCAATGAGAGCTACCGAGAGATGGACTTCGAATGCTGGTCTTGCTTCCCCTAGCACCTCATCCATCTTTGCGTGCGGCAAACGCAGAAAAGTGAACAGGCTGCTGCCATGTATGCACGCAAACATGCACAGCTCGCTGTAGCCAGTCGTCGGGCAGGCTGCAAGCATCATACTCCAAAACCTTCAGCGTTGTAGCGCAGCACGACACAGCTTCACTGCACTGCACGCAGGCCGAAGTCGACGATTCAGACACACCGCCGCACGCTGCTAGACGCGGCTGGCTGGGCGTCAAGAGTCAACACATCGAAGCACCTTTCCGGCGCACCTCGTGGTGCATCGCGGTACCGGAAGGCTGTTGAAAACAATTTGTCATTTGAGAAGAACTTGAGTCATGGAACGTTCGGCGAATGCGTTTGGCAGATCCCCCAGTTCTACAGTTTTCAGCTCATGGCATGCCGGTGAGTGCAGTGCAGCAGGGCATCATTAAACACATCTTCCATCAACGAAGGCGGCAGGGTGCTGCAAACGTAGCAAAACATGCAAAATCTCAATAAGTCAACTCACACTCCTCTTGGAGCAATGATGAGCAATGACAGCCTCTCTCTCACTTGTTGCTTCTAACAAAGGGGTCCATCCGTTGGTTCGTTCTGTCTTCATGTTTTGCTGTTTGTCCTTCGTCGTTCCCTCCCTCTTTCTGGGTTGTATTCAGGGTTCTTGTTGTTGATGTCTGCAACCCTCCCCCTTCGGTCGGCTGAATCGGATCGAAAGAGGCTGTCAGCCAAAGGCCACACTCCGTGCCAAGCTGGCGCATTCAGTGGTGCCACTGTCCTGAGATGGCCTCACCATTAAAAACGGACTCTCAGATGTAGTCCAACTTTAGGCAGCACAGCCTCCGCGGCAACTGCCGACATCAACAGCGAAACATGGGTGTAGGTTCTCTGGTCCCTGCTGTCGCGCGGTTTGGGGTAGGGCGGGTCAAGGCCTCAGTGGCTTGCAAGAGGAACGGGAAAGTGGGAAACAACGACACCCCACCCAACAACAGCTGCATGCTGCCGGGCCAGAGTATGCCCTATTCTACGAGGACTTACCAAGATTCTCGCATCAACCACTTGCCAAGCCCGCAGGTTCAGGAGAGGAAGCTGAGCCACCAAAAACTCGGCAAGCCAAACGCTTACCGTCCTTGCCCATGCAAGGCAAGTCCAGCACTCTGTACACCAACTCAGCCGTCGGACCACCGAGTTTGGAGTTCGAAGGAACTGAAACTAATATCGTTGGAGTCGCCGCTTCCTTCGGCTACTGCTCTGGGACTTCAGAGACAATCCTGGTCTTGACACCTCGCGTCACGCAGGCCGCAGCGGCAGCCAGTCTTTGCGTGAACATAACTTGTATGGCGGCCCAAGCCTCGCAGCCAGCTCCGAAAAGCACTAGCACTACTCGTACTACGACTACTACTACTACT